ATCCCTCTCCTTGTTGTCTTCAAAAGTTGTCATTTTAGCCTCATGTGTGAGCATTATTGTTGAGTTCATGTTGGCCATGTCTTAGCTAGTATTTACGCTTATTTTTCCGTGATATAGCACTATTTTAATTTGGTTTAGACACACCATGCTTGCTTTGCATACTTGTCTTGTAATGCCATGAATTGCCTTAATATGCTTTGTGCTTTGAGCCTTGTTTCTAGCATGTTTTTGGCCTAGCTTTGTGAAGCTTTTATGCATGTCTTAGTATGCTTAAGGTCTGTTTGGAGTTGTTTTGGCCATCCATGACATGCTTTGCATAGCCACCTTGCATTTTGGCTTGTTAGCCTTGGGTGTGTGAGTGTTGAGCATGCATTACTTGGCTTGTTTCAGTGGTTTGGCAGAACTTTTAACATCATTTCAGTCCTTGTGGTATGCTTGTATGCTTGCATTTGATGCTCCTTTAATGCTTCAAGAGGTTGGTATCTTATGCTCTATGTTTGAACCCTTTTGCATGCCTTTAGACTTAGGCCATTTAGATGCCATCTAGGTGTGCCTTTGACCTTGTTTTGATCTGCCTTGGGGTGGTTTTGAGTCCCCATGGCCCTTTGGGAATTGCTTGATATGGCTATGGTTTAAGCCCCTTGGCTTACCTTGAGTTTTGGACATAGTTGCATGCCTTGCTTGCATTGATAGGTTGATTTGGCATCATTCCTCATGTATTTTCAGAGCTTGCTATGCTTGCCATTAGTCCATGTTTATCCTCTTTTAAGTGTGCTTAAAAGTTGCTTCTTTATGCTTAAGAGTTGGGCCATGTGTGCATGCATGTTTGTATGTGTTTTGGCCTTCATTTCCTTAGCATTTGGCCACTGTTTTGGACCTAGTAGAGAGCTGTCCATGTTGGTGTAAGTCCCTCCTTTGCATGTTGTTGCATGCTCGCCTTGTGTTGTTGCAAACTTGGCCTATCGCATGTGTTGCATGCTTGAATCACATTGCATTTAGCATGTTTTCTTCCTTTTGTCTTGGTTGCTTAACATGTTACGTGTCTTGCATGTTTGCGTGTCTTGCATGTTTGCATGTTCGCATTGCATATTGCATGCTTGTTAGCTTGCACATGTTGTTACATGCCTTGCATGTTTGTTTGTTTAGGTTGTGTTCTTAGTACACGTTACTTGCTTTCATGCTCATGATTGCATACTTAGCTCACATGTCTAGGTTGCATTGCATTGAGCATGCATGCCTTGTCTCTTGATCAAGTGATAGAGGTTGGGCCTTATGTGTTTATTTGGTTTGCATTTCATTTGACATTAAAATACATAACTTGGCCTCTTTGGCCATCACGCATTGAAATGCGCGATTGGTGGCCCGAGGGTCGAGGACCATCCTCCTTTGAGTCATGACCATATTGAATAGCCTAAGACCATGAAGCATTATAACAGCTCCTATAAAAATTAATATCAAGAGAGTGGAAAACATTTGCATGCCAATGAATCTGATTAACAATTTGACTAAGTTATGTGAGACTCTGCACATTAGGTCACTCAAGAGTGCCAATTAGAAAAGAGCATCCTCTGTAAACCCTACCACTGACGGATTTTGTGTCACTTTACAATGCAATCTGAAGCCTGGAAGGAAGAACTACATTAGATAGCTAACTATAAACTTACGGTTTAAAATTTTATTTTTGAAATAAAAAATAAGTTTGGTTACATATAGCCTGATAGCTGGATTGTGTATCAACTACCACGTTGGTGTGGTTTTCTCGAGTATCCTGGTATCCTGATTGTTAAAAAATTCAATAGAAATTTTGATAATATCTAAGCTATGATTTCTGGCATATGGAATCATCAAAACAATCCCACCTCAATACCATTTTTCATGATGAGAATGCTATTAAAGTAACAACCAATGGTCAGCAGTCATTGTAGAAACAAAATAATGATACTCATAGTCCTAATCATAGTGGAATACTTACAAGTTCAAGCTGTTGAACACTATGAATTTCTCTTGGCAGAGTAACTTTTTTGTTTGTATCCTGTTGACATGATCTCATTAATAATTCTAAACAAAACTAACATAAGTTGTTACTGATAGTGGGAATCAATCACAGAAAAACAACCGAGATTCTAATACCATAATTAAACAAGACAACAATGAAATGAAGAATAAAAAAAATGAAAATAATTTCAGAACTATATGACTAACCTCTCTCTTTGATTCTAGTTCAGCAAGTTTGATGTAAATCTCCACCATTTGTTTCATCTATATATTGATTTTTAGGATGAGCTACAGTCTACTGCTTAAATTAATTAGCTTAATTGTTTATATATCTCAATAAATTAATTTTTATACAATCAAATATTTTAGATTCAACAAACACACTAAAAAGTTTAGATTCAACAAAATAATTTCTTTTATACAATTAGAACCTAAAACTAATTTTTTAGGTCCTCAATCAAAACTCTATTGTTTCAATTGAAATCCCCAAATCAAAAACTTTTTTTTTTTTTCAAATCTCCAAATCTTAACCCTAGAACAAATAGGTTCCAAACCTGGTTGAAGGGAGAGTGTTTTCTTCTTTGCTGAGACTGTGAGTACATTTCTTTTGTCTCTCTCTCCGTCGTTCCCCTTCCGGCCGACTTCTTCCCACTATGTCGTTTCTTCTATCTGCTTCAGAGAGCTCTCTCTCTCTCTCTCAACAAAACTTTTCATTTTATTTTTCTTTTCAGGAGTGAAATACAAAATAATTTTTGTCACCAATCGCCAACTTTAGGCACGTTCAATATTCCAATGGCGCCAACATATTTGGCTTCTTTTTGTGGTAAAAATAATTTTCTTACTAAATTAAAATTTAAATCTAAAAAAATTAACTTCTTTTAATTTTTATGACAAAATTAAAAGTTATATCTGATTTGATTTCTTAAAAACTTTTTTTTTTTGAATTATCGTTTATGTTTAGCGAATTTTTTTTTATTTTCGTCAATATTTTATACTTTTTAGTTGCACCTAATCTAAATGCATCTAAAAAAAAATTTAAAAATTGACTAAAATATCATAAAAATTCATTACGAACAAATGAAAATTTGAATAAAAATCTATGTACATTTTTGTTTGGATTTTTGTTTGCTTTTAATGAATTTTTTTCATATTTAGTTATTTTTATTTTTATTTTTTTACATGCATCTAACCTTAATATATTTACAAAGTACAAAATGTTGACTAAAATATGGAAAAAAAATTATAAAAACATACGAAAATCCGTTCAAAAATAATTTCTAAGAATTTAAACCAACAAAATTAAAAGTTCAAAAACTAGCGAAGAATAATATTTTATCACCAATTGGCTTGGTTTTGAGTTTTCGTTTTTCGTTTGTCTTTGGAAAACTTTTTTAGATTGTAGTCATTTTTTTCTTTTTCTTTTTTTTTAAATACACCTAATCTAAATACATACTTAAAAACAAAAATATTTGTGAAAAAATATGAAAATACACTAAATTTTTATAGTTTTTGTAGTGAATTTTTGAAATTGTTTTCATAAATTTTGTACTTTTAAAGTTTATCTAAATTAAAGGGATATAAAAAGTAAATAAATATATATTAAGATATTAAAAAAGGTTCACTAAAAAAATACAGACTAAAAATTTATTCTTTAAAACTTCAAAATAAATAGGGTGATGCTATCTTAATTTTGAAAATTGGCAACAAATATTTTTTTTTTTTATCTGTATTTTTGCTCACAAAAAATAGCTACATTAATCATCTTTTTCCTTATTTAATTTTTTTTTTTTTCTTTTTGTGGAGAGGGGTTTACTGTGAGAAAGAATAGTAGCTTTGCATAAAATGTCTTCTTGGATAATAATTTTTGCATGCACAAACGGCTTAAATGTGAGACAGAATAAAGGAGCTTCTATCATTACCTGAACCCGCCCCTATGGATTAAGATCATAATCGGCCAGTAACCAAGAGATTACCTACGGCCTCAAACCAAATAAAACGTATTTCAACAGAGTTAAGGGGCCAAGACGGAAACAAACTTAAAAACTTTGTCTATAGAGCTGTGCTTATATGGTATAACAAAAACATTCCAAAAGTATTTCATAATAACTCACACATACCCATAGAGTTAATCTATATCCAGGAACTTTCAGTTATACAGTCAGCCAAACAAAACTTCCATACAAAGGTGATCCAACGTTTTCGCCAACATTAGCAAAATATAACAAAAGAACAAAAGGGAAAAAACAAGTCTCGTGCGTGAAACGTTTGGGCTGACTCTCCAAAACTTCGACTGTTTCTCACATACTTCACTGAGGCTAGGTTTGGACATCTCTTGGCTCACCTACAGACACATGAATGAGAGTGAGCGATAGCCCAGTGAATAATATCAAATAAAGAAGATACATTAACGCAATTTGAAATAGATACATCATGTGGCCTTGGGCCTAATTCATGTTTCTATCTAGTGTATCAAACGACTACAACCTAGATGTATCAAACAGCCTCTAGCCCACTTTGATTTTTAACAAACGGCCTCGAGCCCAATTCATTCGTATCAAACGGCCTTTGGCCCAATCATTCATATCAAATGGCCCTTGGCCCAATCATTCATGTCCAACAGCCTTTGGCCCAATCATTCATGTCCAACGGCCTTTGGCCCAATCGATCATATCCAACAGCCTTTGGCCCAATCATAAGACATAACAGATATTTGTCCCCAATTCAAATTGACAAACTTACGAAACTCAAATAGGAGTCAATAATTGGACAAATAGCATACTTTAAAATATCTTTACTAAGATATTACTCACAGTGATCCGCTAGATAATTTGCCCTTGTGCTTAACCCTACATAATTCATAAACATAATGGGTCACAAGCGATTCAATCTGTTCTTAATTCATATATTCTTCTTAGGCCTCTTTCTTATCTTCTACATCCATTTATAATGTTCAATGTATGCCTAAGAGTTCTTAGAAATGAAAGAGAACGGAAAATGAAATACAAAACCCCTTTTTCAAAATTTCTGAAACAGGGCTCCCCGCTCGAGCGCAGCTTTAGCCGCTTGAGCGGACCCCTTTGGTCTGCAAAAGTACTGGTTGCCTCATTTTTGTACTCGAGCGTGACTTCGGACACTCGAGTCGAGAGTCGAAACATGTGATTGGGCGCTCAAGTGTGACTATCCCCGCTCGAGCGGACATCAATGCTTGCAAAAGTTCTAGGAGCTAGAATTTCACGCTCGAGCGACTATTTCCCCGCTCGAGCGGACCCAACGAATTCTGAAATTTTCAGAATTGTTCTTGATGCTCAAACTTGTATTCAAATTGATGCAACTTGCATGTTATAATCCATAACTCACTTTTACATTTTCTAGCATGATACAAGCTCTATATGTACAACATTATGAAACTTAATTCCCATGAATCAATCACAAGCATACTCAAATTATATCAAACTTATTCCCAACACATTAAATTCATGCAACCAAAACTCATAACTCTATGAATTGTGCTTGCATATGGAATATAACTTTCATTCTCAACTCAAACGATGCAAATGACGATCAAGGCATGAATCTTCACCAAAATTCAACATGGATCATATGTTTTATGCTCAAATACACAAATTTATAGCAATCTTTAACATGCATGCCTATGATGACTTCAAATTCACCAAGTTCAACTCAAATCATGCCCTCGATTACAAATTATCTTTGTGTTTTCATAATTACAACCCAAAGTCATGAATTCATGCCCAATTACTCACCTGTGAGCTCCAATCTTCACAAATGTAGTTAAATCTTGAGTGTAACTTCCAAATTCACAAACTTTGAGCCAAGATACACAATTCTTCCTCATTCTCTCTCTCGAACCGGCCCTCTCTTTCTCTCTAGAGTGTGATTTTCATATTTGAGCTAAAAAAGAATGAGATTAAGTGTAATAGGGCCCCTTATATATGTTTGCCTAATCAAATTTGATTAAGGCTAAGTAATTGAGCTTAATTCAATCGTTCTGAATCTAATTATTTTGATCTCAATAAATTTTCAATTAAATTTCACTGTAGGCTCTAAAAATTATGCCGATCACAATGGCACGGTCAATTTCGGTTTCTGTGGCCAATAAGGCCTTCGATTTTCAGTTTACAACAGTAAGTTTAACAGATTTTCCTACGGTGAACAGATAGAAATTCAAAACCACATATAATCATATAAATGGCACTCAAAATCATATTAAGCTCATAATCACAATCATAATTAAGATCAATTAGCATAATACGGAACAGGGTTATCACAGCTTCAGTCCGAAATAGAATAGATGGTTTATAGAGATTGTTTTCTCGAGTCACAGATTCAATACTTGTGAGAGAGGAGGCTCAAGTGCGAGAGAGAAATGAGGGTTTGTAGAGGGTGTCTTTTTAGGTCACGACTTTAGTATTTGTGTGTGTGAAAGTAAGTGATCAAGGTGAGAGTGTCTCTTAGTTTCTGACAACATTTTAATAAAAAAAATAATTAGTGATAAAATATTTTCGTCTCTTCAAACTCATATGTTCGTTGCCTAATCAATAAAAATACAAAAACAACATTGTTCGAGGATGGAGAATTTATTGGTGATGAAATATTTTTGTCTCCTTCAACTTAACCTTATGAGACAAAAATATATTCGTCGCACAATCAATCAAAATGCAATATGATACATGGAAAATTTATTAGTGTCGAAATATTTTCATCTCCCAAAACATATCCTTCTGAGACAAAAATATATTTGTTGCCCAATTAACAGAAAGATAAAACGAGCATAAAGAGTTTATTAGTGATGAAATATTTTCGTATCTCATAACTTATCCTTCGCAGACAAAAAATATATTTGTCACCAAATAAATAAGAAAATGCAACGACATCGTCTAATAAGTTTGGAATTTATTGGTGGCGAATTACTTTTGTCGCAAAAAACTTTAAATTTTGTGACAAAAATGTTCGTCTCCAATGATCTAAAATAATTGGCGCCTCTTTTTTTTCTGACGAATTTATTTTTTCGTCTCCTATAGTTTTGAGAAAAATTAAAAGAAACGACAATAGTAATATTTCGTCATGTTTGGGTTACGTTCTAAGACGAAAATAAATTTTATCACCAAATTTTAAAAATTAATTATTGAAAACTCCATACTAAACATATAACGACCCCAAAATCCGTATTAGAGATTACCTTTATGGCCTTATGGGTTAATGCATTTTAATTTAATGATATCTGTTCAAATTGAGGAATTATCTGTTGAGCCATGGCTTTAAAATTGAAATTACCGACCTTTATGGGTTCAGAAATCACAATTGAGTACTTGAGTGTGTTAATGAAAATTTTTAGAACTATTTGGGAAAATTAATTGGAAATCTAATTTGTCTGATTCGTTAATACACGTTTGGGTGGTTAACTTGGTACTGCAAATTGAAGGCCTTAGAGGCTTTAGAAACCAGAACAGGGGACATATTTATGATCAGCACAATTTTTAGAGTCATCTGGTAAAACTTTAATTGAAATTTGATACTGTTGCGATTCTAGCAGGCACGGGTTTATGTCTCCCTATTTTGTTATAGCCATGTGTGTAGATGTTTATATTTTTATATATAAATATGTCCTTTTGAAGTGGTTCTCGGTCACTTCTTTTGGAATCCCATAAATAGTCTAAAAAAGAGGAGAGAAGAGAGACGGCATGAGAGAGAAAACGAGAGAGATAGAGACCAAGAATTCTTGAAAAAAGCCTCAACAATTCAGTGCGGGTTGT